TCAACATACTTTGCCCGGTATTTACTAAAAGTGATTCAGAAATTCCATGCAATCTCTATTAACTGGGAATAACCTTTTTCACTGGGGAAAAAACAAACAGGTCTGAGGTTGTGGCTCAGTGGTAGAGTGCTGAGGGCCATTGCCAAGTAGGAATGACGCATTGAAATTTCCTTGCCAGCGTACCCCATGTTGCTTAGAGGAAGGACTCGTGGAAATGGACTTTCCTTGGACATTCGCTGTGACGTTGTGTGTATGTTTGAGAAAGGTGACCCTGCTCAAGGACCAGGGTGGATCCGGATTTAGGGAGGATCCTACTGGATTTGGGCAGATCCAAGTTTAGGGTGTATCCTGCAGGTTTTAGGGAGTATCCCGCTCCTTGGGTTTAGGGCGTTCCTGGTTTAGGACAATCTGGGTTTAGGGCGGTTCCAAATGACCCCGTCCAGAGAGTGGAGAGTCCATGGAACATGGAGATGAAGAATTTTCTGAATGAGATCCTGCACTGGACAAGGTGTGCACTTAGCCTCATCATCACTGGGATTATTGCCCTGGTGACCGCCATCACCAGAACAACCACTGCTGCTTCTTCACTTACTCAGGGCGTCCAGACGGCTCAGACTGTAAATGATTTGTCCACTGCCATGGCAGAAGACTTTGCCATCCAAAATGACTTAAATAATCTGTCCTGAGCTGATATTTTACTCATTTAGCAGGACCTAGACCTCCACCAGGAACAACTCGATATTCCGTATATGTTGCAGAGGCTCACTTTTGACCCTGAATTCCATAGTATTTGTGTCACCCAATATGCTGTATCTGAAAATGTAACCCTTCACTTCTCCAGTTTTTCTCAGTATATTAAGGGCACGTGGGATGCTAACTATGTTAAGACTGTGCATGACCTCACCAAGGCAATTGTCAAGATCAGTGAGATGAAGGTGTCGACCTTGGCAACCTCTTCTTTCTTCCAGGTATTGACTGAACATTGGAAAACCTCATAGCCAAATTAACCAATCCTTATAATGCTATTACCCGACTCATATTGTTTATAATGGTGATAATATTTTCTAGTGTTGTGAGACGCTTATGTAACCATGTAAAGGCCACCAAACAAATACTGCAATGCTGGGTGAAGTCCTTGCAGCACAGTCGGAGGGGGGAGATGTGGGGACAGGTGCATGGAGTACTGCACACATGGCATACATGGCCACTCCCCTTGTGCTAGGCTAGGCGTGTGAGCACCTGTAGGCACACCCTGGGCATGAGGCCACTGTTGCAGTCCCTGTACTTGTTCCATGGCCCACTCCTCCATCTGTCACTGCAAGGATAATTAGCAGAAATTGCACTGGTGGGTGCCTGTAATCTTCTTAGCTATTGCCTGAGTATAAATACGTGGCAACTGCATGTAAAATCAGACCTGCTTCCTGCTTGGTTTCTGGAGGTCTTGATGAGTGACTCCGCAGCCACCCGTACCTCTACCTGTTCCATGGACATCCTCACTGGACCAGAAAAAGCCCCCGCAGACGTGCATCAAGTTGAGTGTATTCTCATGGCAGCCATTATACACTTTGAAAGCTTTTGATGGTTTCTCCCATTAATGAGCTTATTTTCCGTCCTTCTCCTATCAGTTGGATATGTGACCAGTGCTTTTGTGCTCTCTCTGTAGACCCACAGTTTCATCTGTGGAGAAGATCAAAGTAATCTTTGGTTATCTTCAACTTTCATCAGTTTCAGAGAAGATTGAGTGGGTTCAGGGGGTTGGCCATGGACCTTTTAAGCTGCTTTAAATAAGGAAGTACACCCTAGCATCTAATAATATAAGAGGTGGTATAACTAGTGATATGAGTCACATTGATTAATTCT